AGATGGGCTCTCACTCTGTTGCCCAGGCTGGAGTGTGGTGATACAATTATAACTCACTGTAGCCTTGAACTCCTGGGCTTGAGTGATCCTCCCACCTCAGCCTCCCAAGTAGCTAGGACTAGAGGTGCGTGCCACCACACCTGGCTAAGTTTTTAATTTTTATAAAGATAGGATCTTGCTATGTTGCTCAGACTGGTCTCAAACTCCTGAACTCAAGCAATCCTTCCACCTCAGCCTCTCAAAACACTGGGATTACAGGCATGAGTCGTGGCACCTGGCTGTAACTGCATTTTTGATGGATTATTTACTTAACACCTGTCTTACCCACTAAGCGCTAGTAGTAATGGTAACTAGTATACTGAGCACTTGGTCTGTGCTAGGCACAGTACTTAGTACTTAAATTTTTTTTCAGTCTGGGCAACGTGATGAGACCTCAGCTCTACAATATATAAATAAATAATTAGCAGGGTGTGGTAGCATGCACCTGTAGTTCCGGCTACTTGGAAGGCTGTGGCAGAAAGATTGCCGGAGCCCAGCAAGTCGACACCGGGGTGGCCGTGAGTGTGCTACTGCTCTCAGCCTGGGCAACGGAGTGAGACTCCAACTCACAAAAAAAGAAAATTGTTTAAGATGAGAAGTCTCACTATATTGCCCAGGCTTGTCTTGAACTATTGGGCTCAAGCAATCCTTTCACCTCAGCCTCCCAAGTAACTGGGACCATAGGCACATATCACCACGCGCCCACCTTGGTACGTCTCACTTTTTTGTGGACCATCTAATTTTACCCTCTCAGTAATCCTATAAATTAGATACGATTGCTCCTGTAGTCCTCACCTAACATCATCAACAGGTTCTTGTAAACTGCAAATTCAAGCAAAACGACCTATAATGAAACCAATTCCACCATAGGTGACTTGATATAAACAAGAATTAAGTTCTTGAATTCCGGCCACAAAAAAACATCACCAAGCTTCTAAATAAAGACCAAAACACTTCCAACATTAGACAATGAAAAAGGCGTGAGCTGTACATGCATTTAAGAAAGATGAAGAAAAACAAGAAAGAACATTATTTACCCAAGTATTTCAGCTTGAGGTCTCAGTGACTGGAACCCGTCCCTGCAGCTCAGGGCGCAAGGTGGGAACCAGCCTTGGACAGGACATCCCTTAGCAGGGCACTCACACACACCCACACTCACGCTGGGACAATGCAGACCCACCAATTCAATTCACCTAACATGCAAGGTTTTGGGGTGTGGGCGGAAACCGGAGTGCCCAGAGAAATCCCACGCAGACGTGGGGAGGGTGTGCCAACTCCATACAGTGTCCCGGCCAGAAACCCATATTTTTCTCATCAACGTTGTAACAAAATGACACTGAGTGAGGCAAACATTACCATGGTCATCATTATTATTAGTGTGAGTAGGGTTCTCATTCTGTCACCCAGCCTGGAGTGCCGTGGCACAATCATAACTCACCACAGCCTCGACCTTTTGGGCTCAGGCAATCCTTCTGCCTCAGCTACTCCTGAGTAACTTGGACTGCAGGTGCGCATTACCACACCTGGCTAACTTTTTTATTCTTTTGTAAAGACGAGATCTCACTATATTGCCCAGGCTGGTCTCAAACTCCTGGGCTCAAGCAATCCTCCCACCTCAGCCTCCCAAAGGGCTGGGATTACAGACGTGAGCCACCATGCCCGGCCATGAAACAACATTAAGGACCTTCTGTTCCACGTTTCACACATGGAAACCTGGGTTGAGAATTTGGGTCACTTGTCCGCAAGGTTGTGAATTCCCAGAGGGCTCAAAATGGCCTATTTTGCTCCATTATTGAGTCCTGAGGGACCAGTTCAGTGACTGGCATATGGTTAGCACTCAATATAAGCTTTTTGGTTGGATGGATGGATGGATGGATGGATGGATGGATGGATGGATGGATGATGGGACAGCAAGAAGGAAAGAGAGGAAGAGAAGGGAGGGAAGAAGGAAGGAAAGGCTGGGATGTGCCGCCCAGTCTCTGGCCGCGACTGGGACGTCCCCGCGGGCAAGACTGGTGTCCCCTCTGATGTGCTTCCGCGGGTCCCCTGCCAGGTGCCACCATGCACGTGAAGAAGTACTTGCTGAAATGCCTGCACCGGCTTCAGAAGGGCCCCGGCTACACGTACAAGGAGCTGCTGGTGTGGTACTGCGACAACACCAACACCCACGGCCCCAAGCGCATCATCTGCGAGGGGCCCAAGAAGAAGGCCATGTGGTTCTTCATCACCCTGCTCTTCGCCGCCCTGGTCTGCTGGCAGTGGGGCCTCTTCATCAGGACCTACCTGAGCTGGGAGGTCAGCGTCTCCCTCTCCATAGGCTTCAAGGCCATGGACTTCCCCGCCGTCACCGTCTGCAACGCCAGCCCCTTCCAGTAGGTGGTCCCTGCGCGCGGCCACCTCACCGACCGGCCATTCTTTTTCTCTTTTCCTTCCTCCCAACTTTCCCTCTCCTCTTCCGCCTTTCTTTTCCTTTCTCTCCTTCTCTTTCCTTCTCCCCTTTCTTCCCACCTCTCTCTTCGAATTCCTTTTCCTTCCTTCCGTTGCTTCCTTTCTTTCCTTCCCTTATTGTTCTTCCTCTTCCTCTCTTCCTTTCCCTCTTTGCTTTCATCCTCTTGCAGCAAGTAAGATTCAAAATTCAGAAACTGGCCGGACGCAGTAATCCTAACACTTTGAGAGGCCGAGGCAGGAGGCTTGCTTGAGTCCAGGGATTCAAGACCAGCCTGAGCAGCGTAGTGAGACCTCGTCTCTATAAAAACTAGCCAGGCATGATGGTGTGCATCTGCAGTCCCAGCTACTCAGGAGGCTGAGGCGGTGAGCTGTGATTATGCTACTGTACTCCAGCCTGGACAACAAAGTGAGATTCCAGCTCAAAAATTCAGAAACTTCCTAGGCTTAATGAGAATCCTGGGCAGGCCCTGTCTTCAGGCAGGCATTGCCCATTTACAGATTTCATATGTGTTTACTAAGCACCTACTATATGCCAGGCACTGACCAAGGCACCAGAAATACAGCAGTGAACAAAACAGAGTTCCTGCCCTCTTCACTGCTTACCAGTGAAAACAGACATGAAAGTTTTTCCAACAAATATTGGACTCATTATAATTGTAATGTTAAAAAATATAACATCAGCCAGGCTCGGTGGCTCAGCCTGTAATCCCAGTGCTTTGGGAGGCCGAGGTGAGTGGATTGCCTGAGCCTGCAGGTTCAAGACCCGCCGGCCAGCTTGGTGAGACCTCATCTCTACAATAAATCAAAAATTAGCCAGGCATGGTAGTGCACGCCTGTTGTTCCGACTCCTTGGAAGGCTGAGGCGGAAGGATCACTGGAGCCCAGCAGGTCAAGGCTGCAGTGGCCAGGAGCGTGCCACAGCACTCCACTCTGGGCGACAGAGTGAGATTCTAACTCAAAAAAAAAAAAAAAAAAAAAAATATATATATATATATATATATAACATCAATGCCTCAGAGGTTTATGATATGCCAGGCATTGTGTTCAGTGTTCTTTGAGAAATTGATGTCATTCTCATCCACACAACCACCCTAGGGGTGGGCACTATGGTGGCAACCCCAATTTACAGTGAGGAAATGCAGCTTCAGAGAGGTAAGTAAGCCTGCCTAGAGACACAGTGGACAACCATGGGATTTGAACCCAAACCTGATCTGACTTCAGAGCTGCCATTATTTTTTTCAGTTGAAGTCTCACTCTGTTGTCCAGGCTAGAGTGCAGTGGCATGGTCACAATGATCACAGCTCACCGCAACCTTGACCTCCTAGGCTCAGGTGATCCTCTCACTTCAGCTTCCCAAGTAGCTTGGACTATAGGTGTGCACCACCATGCCTGGCTAATTTTTTTTTAATTTTTTATTTGTAGAAACAAGGTCTCACTGTGTTTCCCAGGGTGGTCTCAAACTCCTGAGCTTAAGCAATCCCCAATCTCAACCTCCCAAAGTGCAGGGATTATAGGCATGAGCCAACACACCTGGCCAGAGAGCTGCCACTTTTTAACCATTCTGCCATGTTGCTCCTTTCCCATTTGATGGCAAGGCCTCTGGAGTGAACAGAAAAAGCAACCCAACCAAACTGAGTCAGAGTTGAGGAAAGACAGGGGGCCAGTATGAAGAAAGTGTCCTGAGGAATGAATAGAAGCTACCCAAGTAGAATGAAGAGAGTGCCCCAACTGGTGAATATAGCCTGTGCAAAGTCCCTGGGGTGAGACAGAGCTTGCTGCACTCAAGGAATTGAAAGAAGGGCTGGCGCGGCTGAGTCACAGAGAACATTCTTGTCCAAAAGAAAGTCCTAGAAGGGAATTCACATGTTGTGACTACATTTCCAGTTTCAGAGGGGCCTTTCTTTATAGCTAAGTTTCTGCCTGCTTACGTGGGTTCTTGGAGAGACTCAAGAGAACCGTTAATAATAATAGGAACAGCAGCATTGTCTAGGCACTGTGCCACATGCCTTATAGGCATCACCTCACTGAATCTTCCCAAAAACTCTCTGAAGCATGTATTTGTATCCCCTTATTTTGTAGATGAGAGAATAGAGCCTCCGAGAGGTTAAGTTGCCCAAGATATTAGGTGGCATGCCAGGATTCAAACCCAGGGCTTCCATAGCGACCCACCAAGCTTGACAGCAATTGTGGACATCTAAGCTATAATAACACTGCTACCCACACAACCGCCACCCTTCCTGTGGGCACACAGGTGGCTGGGTCTAATGGTCAGGGGACAGACAGTGTTGGTGTCTGAGGTCAAGGTTAGCTCTGGCTGCTATACTTGTACCAGGACCTTGGCCCCTGTCCGGGGTTGAATGCTCCCTCCTGCAGGAAGTCCTCCAGCCAGAGCTGGTCCACATGGCCCCAGTGACCACACTCTGAGGCATGGTCTTGGGTAAATTGCATCTGAAGTGACTGGGGTGCAGGACCCGCCTCCCCTCACAGGGCCTGGTGGGGACACTCCCTGGCGGATCCATCCTTGACTGGTCACCTCGTCCAACATGGGAGCCCCCAGGAGCTGAGAGAAGATTCCAGAGCCAGCAACACAGTCCCACCCACCTTCTTCCTCCTGAAACTGGCTCCTGTTCTCAAAATCACTCCCTCCTGGGCTAGGAGATATCCAAACCCCCACGCACATGCCCACTGGAGCCCACAAAATCCAGGTTCAAATCTCAGCTCTGCTCCTTGTCAGCGAGGTAAGCTTGGGAAATCACAGCAATTCCCAGAGCCTCCATTTCCTGATCTATATGTGGGGATGATGACGGAATTGTGGCAATGAGTAAATAAGACCTAGAAAGCACCTAGCTAGTAAATAAGACCTGGAAAGCACCCATGGAAAGCCATCAATAACCATGCACCATTCTGATCCTTTCTCTACGGAATGTGAATTCCATAAGGAAAGAGACCAGGCCTGTCTCACTGGCTACAGTGCCATCTGTGCCTTGCACAGTGCCTGGCACATAGTAGATACTCATGAAATACTTAGCGAGTGGATGGGTGGTGGAAGGACACTTGGGTGCATGGGTGGGTGGATGGAGAGGTGGGTGCTCGGGCTGGGTGCTCTTCCTATATGTGGTGGCAGCCATGCTGGAGTAAGAGCAGACCCCAGGTTCTAGGTGCTCTGCCTTACAGCTGCCCCCACCCTGACCTGTCCTCTCCCCATCCAGGTATTCCAAAGTCACGCATTTGCTGAAGGACCTGGATGAGCTGATGGAAGCCGTCTTGAGGAGGATCCTGGCTCCAGAGCCAAGCCTTGCCAATGCCACCACAGCCTTGAACTTCACCATCTGGAACCACACGCCCCTGGTCCTTATCGACGAGCGGAACCCCCACCACCCAGTGGTCCTCGACCTCTTTAGGGAGAACCACAATGGCTCAGAAAGCAGCAGCCCAGCACCAGAAAGGATCTGTAATGCCCAGGGATGCAAAATGGCCATGAGACTGGTAAGTGGTCCCGGGTACATGTTGAGCGAAGGGCCCTATCAATTAGGCTGATGGGAGTTGCTTTTTGTTAATAACTTGAGTCTTGCTAGGGGAAAGGCAGACTTGAAGTTGAAGGCAGCGTCTATTCTGTACGTTTGCAGAACTTTTATGAAAATGGAAATAGTTGGCACGTTAGTTAAGACTCTTTGGGATGTAAATGGCCCAGCTCACACTAGCTTAAGCAAAACAGAAAATTCATTGGCTCACATAACTAAGGAGTCCAGGAGTGTATTGCATTCGGCTATGGCTGATCCAGGTATTCTAATGTGGTCATCGGGAATCTCTTGACATCTTGGCTCAACTTTTCTCTTGGCAAGCTGTCTCCACATGGAGGGCTCTCTCAGTGCCAGATTTGCAGACCCCTCGTGTAGCAATATCCCCAGAAAAAGAACTCTTCTTTCCCAATAGACCCAGGAAAAGTTTTGGGACTGACTCATCAGGTCACATGCTCACCCCTAAACCAATAACTGTGGGAGAGAAGATGGGCTGTCATAATTGGCCAGTCCTGAGTCATGGGCCCTGGAGCTGGGGGTGATGTCAGCCTCTGTCAGGTTATATGAACTGAGCGAGGGGAAAAGGTAGAAGGAGGAAACAAGTCTTGTTGTCAAAAGACAGGGCCCTCAATATTGGGCATAAATAGTTGTGCAGTACAGGCAGATACCAAGAAATAACTTCCTTGCACCAGGAGGCTGGGGTGCAAGCCTCTTTTAGTCCTTTGCACCTGCAAGTAGGAACAAGGTCCCCAGTCTGTGTCTGAGGATCCCCTGGGAGCTCTGTCACAGCACACATCCTAGGCCCCACTACTGGAGAATCTGAGTGGGCAGGTCTTGGCCTGTAGTCAACCGGCTCCCAGGTGATTCAATGACCAGCCTTGGATAGGAACCCAGGCTGGAGCCTCCTCCCCCAGAGGAGACGCCACCCTCCCTTGCTCACTCAATGGTCATGATTTCTGCAACCCTCCCCCACCTCCACTTCTACGTGGTCACACCTTCCTTAACCTCCCTGGGTCTTGGTCTCTTCATGATGAATTCCCACATGAGGATGGGGTTAATCGTGATATTGACCTCAAAGGGTTTCTATGGAGACAGAGGGTTGCTATGGAGATTGAATGGGATATAGGTGTGCAACCCTGAGAACAGAGCCTGCTGCAAAATGAGGGTTACATGTTGCCATGACCTCCCCAAGAGGAGGCAAGGAGGTCCCCAGGAATGGGCCCAAGGACAGTGCCCCAGGCCAGCCAAGCTAAGGATGCCAAGAGAAGCCTCTCAACTTCCTAGGCCGAAGTTCCAGGGCCAAGTCCTGTGTCTGTGCAGTGACCTGGATGGTGCAGCGGGCTGCCTGTGGCCAGGTGGAAGAGGGCCCTGCACCCTTCAGCAGACTCAGGCTGACAAGGCTCGTGTGCTTCCCAAAGCGGACGGGGAGGCAGCATCTCCTGAGTCTTGAGTCTCTTCACGGTCCACACGGCCTCCAGGAGAGTTGTGTCTGGAGGTCTTGGGAAACCGGTAGGCAAGGAGTCAGAGCAGTGTGTGTGATGTGTGTATGATGGCCACTTGTGTACAGGGTCAGGGCACTGGTGAGACCCTGATACCCTGTAGTTGTAGAGGCGAGAGTGGGTGTCTGTCTCTGCATGCCTCGGTACACAGGAACCTGTGTGTGTTTTTGCTCCTACAGAAAGTATCTGTGGGGAGAGGCAAGTGGCCGTGTATGGGCTCCTTGTGACTGACATGAAGCTGTGTGTGAGTCGGCAGCCACTCAGCATGTGTGTGTGTGAGTGTGAACACGTTTCCCACCTCCCAGGTGTAGCCAGCAGGTTGTCCCAGCAGAGCATGGCCCTTGTCCAGCTGGGGCCCTCGGGCAGGGGCTGGGGCCTTGCCAGCCGTCCCCACCCACAGGAACCCCTCTTGACCTCCGCAGTGCAGCCTCAATGGGACCGAGTGCACCTTCCGGAACTTCACCAGCGCCACCCAGGCAGTGACGGAATGGTACCTCCTGCAGGCCACCAACATCTTCGCACAGGTGCCGCAGCAGAAGCTGGTGGAGATGGGCTACCCCGCCGAGCGCCTCATCCTGGCCTGCCTGTTCGGTGATGAGCCCTGCAGCTACCGGTGAGAGTCTCCCACGTCCCTCCGGCCAGGCCCTTCCTCTGAAAAGTAGCTGAGTGTTATGGTTAGGAGCCCAGCCTGCTGGGATTCTAATGCCACTCAGTCACCTGCCAGCTGTCCACACCAGCTTTCTGTGCCTCTGGGTCTTGGGACAGGTTTCCTGGAGGCAGAGGCAGAGACGGGGAAACACTGTAGGACTCCTGATGCATTAAGAGCATCGCTTTAGGGAAAGTCTGCAAGGCAAGTGGGTAAGGAAGGAGGGAAAAGCTAAGCAAGGATGTGCTCTCAGGAAAAGTCTAGGCTTTGCCTCATTCTCAAAAGGAGCTGGAAAAAAAACTATAGCACATGGCCAGACACAGTGGTTCACACCTGTAATCTCAGCACTTTGGGAGGCCAAGGCAGGAGGATTGCTTGAGTCTAGGAATTTGAGACCAGCCTGGGCAATATAGCTAGACCTGGCCTCTAAAAAAAAAAAAAAAAATTAAAAAAGTATACAGGTATGGAGGCGTGCACCTGTAGTCCTAGCTACTTGAGAGGCTGAGGCAGGAGGATACGTGGGCCCAGGAGGTCAAGGTTGCTGTGAGCTGTGATCATACCACTGCACTCCAACCTGGGGACAAAGTGAGACCTTGACTCAAAATATATATCAACTGTACTATAAAGCCGTCCTCGGGGACTGGCCCCATCAGTTGGTCAGTCAGTCACTGGTTGTGGCCTGCCCCCAAGGGATTGGTTGGGGTCGGTCAAGGTCTCCTAACCTCCAGATTGTTAGCCTCCCTCCCAGCTGGGGGTGTGTGTACCAGCGGATAAAGGGACCTGGGCAGGCTCCTTGGTCTCTACTACCCTCAGTTTTCTCGTCTCTGAAACAGGGACAATAACCGTGACTTCCTCATAGAGTGACCGTGATGAGTAAATGAGCAGACTCACGCAGTCCTTGGAACAAGGCCACGCAAGCGTTGGCCGTAAATAGTCTCTCTCCCAATGACCCATAATGTGGAGTGAGAGACTGGCAGAATCAGGGTGATGTTAGTCCAGGAGTCCGGGCCTTCCTAGAGCCGGCCCACAGATTCCCACTCCCGCAAACTAAACCCTGGGCCTAAGCACCAAGCTTTGTCCTCGTCTCTGGTGGCAGCCTCCCAGGCCTTCTGACCCAGCCTCCAGGTGTGGGGGGTGGGCCGTACCCACCTTGGTCCCGTCCAGGGCTTTGGCCAGCCTTGTTTCTGAGATTTGCTGGTACCCTCCTGGTCTGGGACCTCAACTTCTCACACCTCAAGCTTCTAGAGCCAAGTCTTGCTGCTTTGGGCTCACCCTTGGGGACTGGAGTTACAGCCAGCTTTCTCTCTCCATGCAGGAATCCCTGTTGAGAATCTACTAGCCATGTGCAGTGGTTCATGCTGGTAATCCCAGCACTTTGGGAGGCCAAGACAGGAGGATCGCTTGAGCCCAGGGGTTCGAGGTTGCAGTGAATTATGATTGTACCACTGCAGTGACAGAGCAAGACTCTGTTTCCAAAAAAAAAAAAAAAGAGAGAGAGAGAGAATCTTCAAAAATCGATGGGCCTTCTGTCCTGCAGATTGCATAGGCACACACAGGCAGGCATTTTGCACATAATGCCAAATAATTTGAGGCCCACCACATAAGGCAGAGCAGCACATGGTGGGAATTAGAAAAAAGCGGTCCCTCCTGGTGAAAGAACTGCAGGATGGCCCGCTGGTGGGACATGCCCCTTGGCTAGCTGCGCACAGGCGGTATTTCAACCCCACAGTCCCGGCTGGGGACCTAGTTCAGGGCACACTTGCCCGGCCATACGTGCCACAGGCTAGGGATACCCAGGGGCCAGGGTAAAGTTCACAAGCAAGGGCAGCTCAGATCATCCAGCTGAAAGAGAACAGATGTAACTGCCATTTTGAATACATCTGCTCAGTATACACAGGTCTCATGGTGGGGGTGTGGTCCCGCCTTACTGAGTGGGACCTGGTGTTCAAAGGCCTGTGTTCAGCACACATCACAGCCCCTCACACTGCACTGGAAGCTCCACGGGTTGCTCCAGGGCTAGAAGACACTGGACTGGGCCAGGCCAACTGGGGATGGTCAACCTGTTGCCAATATGGCGCCCTCCAAAGAGCTGGGGTCATATGGGTTGGAGGTGAGAGACGAGTGGTCCTGCAAAGGGAAACTGAGGAGCTGTTGACAGATAAAGGAAGATGGCTGGCTGGTGGGCAGGCAAAACCCCGGTCCTGGCCACATGGCTTCTGTTTTGTGGCTGTGTCTGGGAGTTCGTTGAGTGTAGGAGTCAAGGCTTGGTGTCTGGGGCGAGACCACCTGGGATCTCATCCTGACTCTGTCTTACAAGCTGTGAGATCTCGAAAAATTTCTTAACCTTGCTGTGGCTCAGTTATCCTACTCTATAAAATAGGGGCATGACAGTACCTGCCCTGCAGCATTATTTTAAGCATTAAATGAGTTAATATGTATGAAGGGCTGACAATTGTACTGGGCTCAATAAGTAATAGTTATAACTATTATTAAGTCCCCATCTGACAAGGAATTCAAATTCAGTAATTATGCCAACATTTATTGGCCCCTTCTTAGGCACCAGGCCCGTACAAAATTATTATTATTATTATTTGAGTTGGGTCTTACCCTGTGGCCCCTGTGGCCCAGGCTGGAGGAGTGCAGTGGCACAATCATGGCTTACTGCTGCCTGAAATTGCTGGGCTCAGGTAATTCCTCAGCCTCCTGATTAGCTCAGGACTACAGGTGTGTGCCACCATTCCCAGCTAATTTTTTAATTTTTTTGCTGTGTTGTCCAGGCTGATCTTGAGCTTCTGGTCTCAGGTGCTTCTCCTGCCTCAGCCTCTCAAAATGCTGGGATTACAGGTGTGAGCCACCACACCTGGCCTTTTTATTTTCCAACAGAGACAGGGTCTTGCTATTTTGCTCAGGCTGGTCTTGAACTCCTGTGCTCAAGCAGTCCTCCTGGGACTACAGGCATGGTCCACCATGCCTGGCTAATTTTTCTACTTTTTTTTCTTTTATGAATTGAGGTCTCACTCTGTTACTCAGGCTGGAGTGCAGTGGCATGCTCATGGCCACCACAGCCTCAACCTGCTTGAGCTCTGGCAATTCTTCCGCCTAAGCCTTCCAAGTAGCTGAAACTACAGGTGCACACCACTGCGCTTGGCTAAATTTTTTATTTATCATAGAGATGAGGTCTCACCAAGTTGCCCAGGCTGGTCTTGAACCCCTGGGCTCAGGCATTCCTCTTGCCTCAGCCTTCCAGAGTGCTGGGTTTACAGGAATGGGCCACCATGCCCAGCCTTGAGCATTTACTATGTTATGAGGGGACAGGATGGAATCTGTGAGCGAGGAAGCAGGAACCACAATGTGTGGAGCCCAACACCGGGGAGGGTAGAGAAGGCACGTTCCTGCAACTGTGGGAGTGACTCAGGAAGGCGTGTGACCAGTTAACCGTGGGAGTGAGGGAGGGAGACAGACATGTTGCCTGATATTTCTGTGCCAACATGCCTGGGTGCCGCCTTTCACTTGGACCTGCTGAGGCAAGAGAAATAGACTTGGGAGGAAACACAATCACCATTTCTGATGAGGTAATAGAGTGACATGGGCTAAGCCTGGCCCAGACTGCCGGTTCTGCCTCTCACGGGCTGTGTGAGATGTTGCTTAACCTCTCTGGGCCTGTTTCTTCATCTGTAAAATCTAATAGTTCCAGCTACTTGGAAAGCTGAGGCGGAAGGATCACCACAGCCCAGCAGGTCAAGATTGCAGTGGCTGTGAGTGTGCCACTGCACCCCAGCCTGGATGACAGAGTGAGATTCTGACTGAAAAAAAAATAGAATGCTTTATGGTTCTATAGTTTGGGGTATATGTGATCATTGAATGCATTCATATAATCTGCAAAGATCAAATCAGTATATTTGGGATATCTACCACCTTAAATATTTGTCTTTTCTATATGCTGGAATCATTTGAATTTTTCTAGTTATAAAAATAGACTTTTTATTGTGGAATAATTTAAGGTTTACAGAAAAGTAAAGAGAGTGCCCTCGGACCCCTCGGCCAGTATCCCCTGTTGTTTTTTTGTTTTTGTTTTTGTTTTTGAGTTGGAGTCTTACTCTGTCGCCCAGACTGGAGTGCAGTGGCCGCTCCCGGCCACCTCAGCCTCCACCTGCTGGGCTCCGGCGATCCTTCCGCCTCAGCCTTCAAAGTAGCCGGAATTACAGGCATGTGCTACCACGCCCGGCTGATTTTTTGATTTATTGTAGAGATGAGGTCTCGCTGCCCAGGCGGGTCTCAAACCCGCGGGCTCAGGCAATCCACTCACCTCAGCCTCCCAAAGGCGCCGGAACCCCTGTTGTTAACATCTTGCATCACGGTGGTGATTTGTTAAAAGGAAGAAACCAGCGTTAGCTTATTACTATGAAGTAAATGAAACACTATTCAGATTTATCCATTTTTCCCAGCGACCATTTCCTGTTCCAGGAATCCCTCCAGAAGACCACATTGCATTTAGCTTCCTTGTTTTGGATGACCTTGACAGTTTGGGAGTACAGGCTGGGTGTTTCATGAAAAGGCCTAGAGTCAGGCACAGCGGCTCATGCCTATAATCCCAACACTTTGGGAGGCTGAGGCGGGAGGATTGCTTGAGCCCAGGAGTTCAAGACCAGCCTGGGCTACATAGTGAGACCTTGCCCCCCCAAAAAAACCAGAAAAGTAGCCGGATGTGGTGTCACATGCCTGTAGTCCCAGTTACTCAGGAGGCTGAGGCAGAAGAATCACCTGAGCCCCAGAGGTTGAGGCTGTGGTGGCCGTGATTGTCCCACTGCACTCCAGCTTGGGCAACCAAGTGAAACCCTGACTCAAAAAAAAAAAAAGTCCTCAGTTTGGGTTTTTCTCAACTGGGGTCATCTGGGGTTATGGATTTAGGGGTGGTATACACAGGAAACCCTCCGCATATCATTTCGGGGTATGTGGCGTTCCCCTTCCTCCCTCAGTTCGTGTTGGGTGTGTGGCCTCCTCCTCGTAAAGTGACTGCCTTCGCTTCCCATGCTGTTACTTCGGAAGTGAGTCACTAAGTCCAGCCTACACCCCGGGGAGAGGGAGAGGGCTAGGGGAGAGAGGTGTTAGCCTTCGGCCTCCTGGAGATAGGCATCTACAGATCATTATTCGGAATTCTTCTGTAAGGAAGACTTGTCTCTTCTCCACTTACTTGTTTGTTTAGTCATTCATTTCTGCAGAATGGACTCCGGTGCCCTTAGTTGCAATCCCCATACCACGTGTTTATTCTGTTGCTCAAACTTTTCCCAGTTTGGCCACTGGAAGCCCTTTCAGTTAGTCCCTGTGTCCCTTTGACAGGTGCCATCCGTTTATTTCTTCATGTATTTTTTTGAGTTGGAGTCTCACTTTAACACCCAGGCTGGAGTACAGTGGCATACTCGCCACCACCCTAGCGTCCATCTGCCAGGCTCCAGCAATCCTTCCGCCTCAGCCTTCCAAGTAGCTGGAATTACAAGCACGTCCTACCACGCCTGGCTAATTTATTATTGTTGTTATTTATTGTAGAGATGAGGTCTCACCAAGTTGCCCAGGCTGGTCTTGAACCCACGGACTCAGGCAATCCACTCTCCTCGGCCTCCCAAAGTGCTGAGATTACAGGCTGAGCCACCAAACCCAGCCTATTCATGTATTTTTTTGAACACTTCTTTGCTTTCTGGCACTACAAGATGTCCCAGTCCAGAGTCAGCCATTTCTTCAAAGAGCCCTGTTTTATTTATTTTATTTTTTGTTTAAATAAAGAATGATATTTAGAAACCAAGATCTGGGCATATATACACATTACCATTGTTGTTGTTGTTTCAGGAATTGACCAACTAGTTTCTGCCCTGGGAAGCCTTCCCCGACCCCCTACTACACAGTCCTGTGGTTGTTATACTGCTTCCTGCTAGGATGCTCTGTTTCCCGGTCTTTTCTGGAGGCTTGCCGGTCTCTGCATGCTTGGTCCCTGTCCCCAGAGAGGTTTCGGTAGGGAAACTTCTGGATCTGGAGCCAGAGGCGGCCAGGCGCTGGAAGTAGCCTCTCTGGGTAGAGAAGATTACCGACAAGCATACTTAAGGAGACCAGGAGCGCAGCCCTGGCAGCACCCTGAGCAACCAGCCTTCTGCTCCTGGGCCGCATCTGTCGAGACAGTTTCTTGGGAACACTGTGTCCCTGTGCCCTGGGGCAAGGCCTCTGCCTCCACAGCAGTGCCTGGCTTTAGCTGGTTTGTCCCGCTCTGTTCTTTCCGTGGCCACGGCCCTGATCCCGCACAGTTTATAGACTCTGCAGCGCCGCCCGGAGCTATTTCTTCCCTCCGGGCCTTTGCCTGGGCCTGGCCCCCTCCCGGTATGCCGTTTCTGCTCCCCGCCCTCCTGACCTGGCAGTCTCATACTCAGTCCCAAACTCTCAGCTCCAGTCTCACCTCCTCCTCCAAGAAACCTTCCCTGACCCTCTCCCCACCCCCATGGGGTATGAGATGTCATTCCTGCATGCTTATCTCCACTGATGCCCTTATCATATATTACAGTTTATTCAGCCAATATTGACTGACTGTACTGCGTGCCAGACTCTGGAGACAGAGTGGTGAATAGTAGCAGTGAAGAGTTTTCAAGTGTTGCAGTATGCGAGGCATCTCACCCTCGCCTCTGTCCTGTAGGGTGGGTGCTGTTATTAGCCCAGTGGGAAAGTGAGGCACAGAGAGGCCAAGTAACCATCCCCAAGCTCACCAGATAGAAAGCAGCAGAACTGGAATTCAAATCAGGCGGGCTGCTTCCGTGGCCTGTGCCCTGCTTCTCTGAATTAAGGAGGGTGGGGCGGAGAAAGGCGTTAACCTCCCCTTCCCAAGAGACAGGGTCCTGTGCCCTCACTAGGCTCAACTTCTAAGCAGGAGGCAGGTGGTTAGCAAGACATTAAAACAAGATGTTTTTAGATTCTGAAAAAGGAAAAAAACTAGTGGAAATGATATAGAGTGACCGGATAGGGAAATCTATTACTTACTGTTAGTAATAGTTCAAGTCACTTTGGGAGGCTGAGGCAGGAGGATCACTTGAGGCCAGGAATTTGAGACTAGCCTGGACAACACAGCAAGACTCCTTCTCTACTTAAAAAAAAAAAGTGATAGTTAATGTACTATTGACTGACAGTTAAAGTCTATCACTTTACCAGGGGGTTCAGGGAAATCCTCAGAGCAGATAAAATCTGAAGGAGGGGAGAAACCTGTTGTTTGGAGAAATGATTAGAGATGGCACGAGGGACAGCAGGTACAAAACCTTTGAGTCTGGAAACATCGAGAGTGTCACAGGAGACTCTCGATGTTTCCAGTGTCACAGGAGACTCTCTCTGAGCAGCAAGGAGGCTTCAGAGGGGTCTAAGGAGGGCCAGGACATGGTCCAACTCACACATTTAAACAACCCCCCTGATGGCTGTGCCAGAGGAAGGTTGCACAGAATGGCAGCGGAGGCGTGAGATACTGGTGGCTTGGGCCAAAGTGAGACCCCCAGGGATGGAGACAGGTGGCCAGACTAGAGTCATATTTGAGGAGGAGAGAACTGACAGGACTCCGCCCTGGGTCCTCTGCCATGCTGGAAGCTGTGGAGGGCAACCCTGTCCTGTTCCCCTTCGTGTCCCTAGCCCAGCACCCACCTCAGTCAATGTTTGCTGAGTGAAGACACGTGGTTTCTTCCTGCTTCTCCTCTCACTGTGGAGGAAACCAAGGCTCTGAGGTTGAGTATGTGGCTCAGATCTGTCAACAGTGGTAGAACCAGGTCGGCTTTCACAGCCAACTCACTCTGCAAGTTCAGGGTCTGAGGCGGGGGATACACCCTTATCTGAAAAGGGGGACAGAACACCTGACCTCATGGAGTTATTCTGAGGATGAAATGAGATGATGTATTCAGAAATATTCAGCCTGGGCCTGGCCCATGTAAGTTGCTCAGTAAATGTCTGTTGTGGAATATAAGGTTTAAAAGACAATACTTCATGTCAGTTGACAGTTTTTGTTTTGTTTTGTTTTTGCATCTTTTACTGCACTTATACTCCCATTCCCTCCTGGTGTATGTTTGTTTGTTTGTTTGTTTGTTTTGAGATGGGTTCTCCCTGTGTTGCCCAAGCTGGTCTCGAACTCCTAGACTCCAGCAATCCTACTGCCTCGGCCTCCTGAGAAGCTGAGACTAATGGCACACACCACCATGCCCAGCTAATTTTTTGTTTTTTGTAGAGTCAAGTTCTCACTATGTTGCCCAGGCTGGTCTCAAACTCCTGGCCTCAAGAAATCCTCCTGCGTTAGCCTCCCAAAACACTGGTATGACAGGCGTGAACCACTGTGCCCAGCAAAGTTGTTTTTTTTTTTTTTTTAAATCTATAGATTGCCTCCTTTTCTCTATCTCACAATATATTTGTTCAAGAAGCTAGGTTATTTTTTCTGTCACGTTCCCCAGTCTAATTTTGCTGGCTGACTTTCTGTGGTGTCTGCTAACATGTTCCTCTGTCTCCAGTATTTCCTAATGGTAGTCAGACAGTCTCCATTCCATTCAGGTCTGATTTTGGGGGCAAGGCCCCTCCCTCCATGGCTTGTGCACTTCCATCAGGAGAAGGCCACCACGGATGCTCATTGCACAAAGCCCTGAATTTCTCGGGGTTACTCATGATAGTCTCTGTGTGCCATTCCTCTTCAGTTATCAGCTAGATCAAACCAGACCTCTTTTAACAGCTACCCTGCTTGAAAATGAAATAAAGCAGATGGAGGGAGCCATTGATAAAGAGATGTAAAGGCTCACCAGCCAATTATGTGTTCAAATTATTTGAATTTCCATTTAAACAAGTTGTAAAAGCAAAATTGGTATTTATGAGAAAACTGGAAATCTGAACTGAATATTTGATAATATTGGAGGAAGGAATTTTGTGAACTATTTTAAGCATGATCCCAGTATTGTTTTTGAGTTCTTACTTTTATTTTTGAGTTGTGGGTCTCACTCTCTCACCCAGGCTGGAGTGCAGTGGCATGATCATGGCTCACGGTAGCCTCAACCTCCTGGGCTCAGGCAATCCTTCTTCCTTCACATGCCGAGTAGCTGTGACTTCAGGCATACACCACCATACCCAGCTCCTTTTTTTTTTTTTTTTTTGTACATTTTTTTTTTGTAGAGAAATGGTCTTGCTATATTGCCCAGGTTGGTCTCAAACTCCTGGTCTCAAGCAGTCCTCCCACCGCAGCCTCTCAAAGTACAGAGAGTATAGTCATAAGCCACCATTTCCAGCCTCTTCTATTGGGTTTAGGACCTGGTTATCCAGGATGATTTCATCTCAAGATCCATAGTCATCGGCAAAGACTCTCTTTTTTCCAGATAAGGTTATGTTCACAGGTTCCTCGAGTGAGGATGTGGATATATCTTTTGGGGGGTGTATGTGAGACAGATGAGAAAGTCTAAGAAAGTTCTTTTTCATAACTCATGGCTAAACAGAAAGCCTGAGCTCTGACTCCAGAGCGACTCCTTCCCCCCGCCATCTTCCCCGCTGCTTTCTCGGGCAGATGGACAGAGGACAGAATGGCTGTTACTCACCTCTCCCTGAGCCCCTCTGAGTAGTAATGAAGGGCCAACAACAGACAGTCAGAGGAGGCATCGCCCTGCCCTCCAGCTGATGGTGTTTCTTTTAGGAACTTCACCTCCATCTTCGACCCTCATTATGGCAACTGCTACATCTTCAACTGGGGCATGACCGAGAAGGCGCTCCCTTCTGCCAACCCCGGAACTGAATTTGGTGAGTCTTGGTTCATCCTGGAGCCAGCGCCATGTGGGGCTGAAAGACCATCAGCTGTTAGCTGAGTGGGACTGAGGGTTAGACTGAAACCAGCACAAAGAGGAATGGCCATTATTGAGGCTCTACCAATTGCCAGGGAGGCCAGGCCAGGTGCATTCTCTGCCCGGTGCTCAGAATCCCTGGGGTAGTGATTGATGCTTCCATTTCACTGATCAGCAAACAGCTGATTTAGAAAGAGCACAGCTTAGTGGTCAAGAGCTCAAGCCCTTGGGCCTTGGTTAATCCTAGATCCCCTATGTACTCGTTAGGTGATCCTGAGCTCAAGCCTTACCTTCCCAAAGCCTTGGTTTCCCCGCTGAGAAAAAGTATCCAGTAACAAAGCATCGCATAGCAGTGAGTGTAGCATATAGTAAATACCTCATGAATTATTATGACACGATGTGAATAAACGGCTTCACATGCCCAGGAAGCAGTAAATACTCAATATCTACTGTGAGTCAAAGGTTCACTCAGGCTGGAGTGCAGTGGCACGATCATGGCTCACCTCAGCCTCCACCTCCCGGGATCAGACAATCCTCCTGCCTCAGCCTCCTGAGTGTCTGGTACTACAAGTGCATGCCACCATATCCTGCTAATTTTTGTATTTTTTTTGTAGAGACAAGGTTTCACTATGTTGCCCAGGCTGGTCTCGAACTCCTGGGCTCAAGTGATGCTCCCCCCTCAAATTACAGGAGTGAGCCACCACACCCAGACTTCCACACATTCTTATAAGTGGGAGTTAAATCATGTGTCATGTGGACATAGAGTGTGGCATGGTAGACATTGGAGACGCAGAAGGGTGGGAGGGGAAAGTGGGAGGGATGAGAAATTACCTCGTGAGCACAACTGCACACTCTCCAGGTGATGGGTTCACTAAAAGCCCAGACTTCACCACTGTGCAATATATCTGTGTAGCAAAACTGTATTTGGACCCCTTATATGCTTTTTTGTTTGAGCTGGAGTCTCACTCTGTCGCCCAGGCTGGAGTGCAGTGGTATGGATCACGGACACCCCAGCATTGACCTGCTGTGCTCTGGCGATCCTTCCACCTCAGCCTTCCAAGTAGCCAGGACTATAGGCACGGACTACCACGCCTGGCTAATTTTCAACTTATGGTAGAGATGAGGTCTTGCCAAGTTGCCCAGGTTGGTCTCGAACCCTCACGCTCAGGCAATCCACTCACCTCGGCCTCCCAAAGTGCTGAGATTACAGGCTGAGCCACTGAGACTGGCCTATACACTTTTTTTAAAAAAGAAAAAACTATCCATGGCACTTATTCTTAGCCTCTCTGCCATACAGTTGAAGAGGAAATCACAGAGAGAGCATGAAGGAGTTAATAGAAGTGATGGATGACAGATGGCCTTCCTTCGAGGCTGATGTGTTGGCCTGTTCCCTCGAGCAAGGCTAGTAGGCTCAGCCTGGCTGTGACGGTAGGGCTTGGGAGCCAGGCACAGGTGGGAGTGGACCCTTACTCCACCTCTCATGGCCTGACCTCTGCAGCCACCAAGAGGCAGCTTGTCACTCAGTGGCCATCAGGGCCACCAGTCAAGAGAGGGTCATGTGTGCCCTTCACCCAGCCCCTGTGCTTCTGAGAATACTGTCACAGAGAAGCCAGTCGACAGTCAAGGGCCAACTGCCCTGGTCAGAATCCCAGCACAGACAAGTCCTTTCACCTCTCTGTGCCTCAGTTTTCTCATCTGTAAAATGGGGATGATAATAGCACCTACCTGGTGTGGCTCTGTGAGCGTCCAATGAGAGAGTGGATTATGAAGCACTTAGCACAGCACTCAGCAGGTAGCAAGCACTCACTCACTCTTGTTGTCCTAACCAGAGGGACTCAACTCTAGTACCCACATAGCTCAGGAATTTGGTGCATACATGCTCAGGTCCAGTCCCTGCCTCAAGAAGGGCACAATCGAGTGGGGGAGGAAGACAATAAAAGAATCGCACACGTGAGGCACGTACTCGGAAGAAAGTTCCAGGGCTAGGAATGCGTAAAACCAAGACCCTGAGACCTGGTCTAGGTAGTCAGAGAAGGCTTCTGGAGGAAGTGACACTTGGCTGAGATCTGAAGGAAGAGCAGGAGTTTCTAGGGAAAGGGTGAAGGTGGAGACGGCATTTCAGAGTGAGGGAACAGCATCCCAGAGTGAGGGAACAGCATTTGCCAAGGCACAGCAGCAGGAAGGAACATGGAAACTGAGAGGGATTGAATGGATAGAAGGAGAGTGCCTGTGGTGTGGTGGTGCTGTGCCTCCTAGATTTGCCTGCCCAGCAGAACAGAGATCATTGGCGGGGAGGCCAGAGGAGCCAAGTGAGGGGGCTACACTGGAGGCTGCGTCAGAGATGATGGGGGCTTTGGAGATGGCAAGCTGTATTTGGGGCCTGGGTTTTGGCAAAGCAGAGCCAGCTTCCTGGGCAGATCCTGGAAGTCCCCTGAGCTGAAGGGGGCTTAGACAAGGAGGGAAGAGGGGCGGGTTTCCCTTCAGCCTCAGAGGGTAGGTTCAGGCAGCCCTCACCCCACTTTCCCTGCAGGCCTGAAGTTGATCCTGGACATAGGCCAGGGAGACTATGTCCCCTTCCTCGCATCCACGGCCGGGGTCCGGCTGATGCTTCATGAGCAGAGGTCGTATCCCTTCATCCGAGACGAGGGCATCTACGCCATGTCGGGGACAGAGACCTCCATCGGGGTGCTAGTGGTACGGCTGGAGCCCAGGGGCAGCCCAGGGGCTCTGAGGCCACCTGTCCAGGGCCACCCCACCCCGG